ACACACACACAAACATATCTAAGGAGGAGAAATGTTTTTTCACCTTCAAAAATATGAAGAAAAAAGCAACTGCATGTTCACTGCCTGTTAAAATATACTCCCTGGCATAAAGGCTTTGAATATTTAGACCTGGTGAAAAAAAAATGTAACTTTGCAACAATGTTTATTCAGTCAAATAAAATTATGTGTGTTACGTTTTGTAACTATACTTTCCTCCAACTCTGCAACTCTTTAAGTAAACTAGTTGTTGTGATGGCAAAAAGTTATATAATGCGATGACACTTGTTACACATTGCCCCAGAGACCTAAAGGAATCACGGTTATAAAATCCGTTAGCATAATTCTCACTAACGTTATGAAGGCAATATAATTTGGCCCTGTGTTTTTCTTCCCAGCAATAGAGGTATTTACAGTTTCTTCAAACAGGAGCTACTGCACAACTTGATTCACGTTTATTCCCTCTCTGCCATGTTTGAACCAAAGAAAACAGGAGATGTTAAAAGATTTATATGAAATATTGCAGAAGATGGTATCAAGAGCCCCTTTCTTATATTTTAAGCCTCCTATTGGTGATAGGAACATGCAATCCAATCCTCCTTGTGTTGGCAAGCAAATGTGATTATACCTCATAGAGAAATCTAATGATTTTTCCTCTGTCTGGATCAGGACCTGTTCGGTATTATGGTGAAAGACGAATCTCCAATTGTAAATGGTCAACGAGTTTCAAGTAAGGCCTTTTATTTTTCCCCATGAGCAAAACAAAAGAGTATAATTACTGTTCAGAGGGCAACAGATGGTTTCTAAGTTTGGGTGAGTCTAGGAGTGATCATTCCCCCTCAGCCTTGGCAAGTTTAAAATGGATGGGCTTCAACTCCTGCTGGAAGCCATGTTGCAAGACGGGATTTGAAGTTCACCCATCTTAAACTTTCCAAGGAAATGCCAAGCAATTCAAAGGGGGTTACTTAACAAGTGCATGATTTACTTAACAACTGTGGTTGATTTGGGTTGTTCAATTGGGCACAGCTCACTTAACTGCCTTGCTTAGCAATGGAAATTCTACTCCCAATTGTGATGGTAAGTCAAGGACAATTAGACGTGCCAAACAACACTGTATATATTAACATACAACACTGCATATATTTAACATTGCATATATTATTTTCCCTCGTGCCATCGCTCTGTTGAACACCTAATTCCCACAGTACTGTCTTGTCTAAGGATATTTACCCAAATGGTATAGCTGGATTATTATAAGCCTTCTAATCTTTTCTATTATCTTCTCTTATTGGTATCGTTATTATACCAGTATTACTTTGTTGTTCGTATGTACACTGAAAACTTATGCACCGGAGACAAATTCCTTGTGTCCAATCATACTTGGCCAATAAAGAATTCTATTCTATTCTATTCTATTCTATTCTATTCTATTCTATTCTATTCTATTCTATTCTACTCTACTCTACTCTACTCTATTTCTACTCTATTCTAATTTTCTATATTATTTTATATTCTATATTCTATTCTCTTCTGTGTTGGAAACACAAACTCATTATTTCCCCCTTCTTGTGCAAATCCAGCCACAGTAAAAAATCATCTATAGATTCTGCAGCCTGTGATTTATCTAACTATGCCTCCTGGTGGCTAATAGATGGTTAGCTTAAAAACAAACCACAGAGAGAAATGAGTGGGGAAACATTTAAGGAGCCATTTGCCCCATGACCCTTGATTTATAGTGGGAAGAGTCAGCAGGAACCCACTTATACCTCACTCCTATTCAGAAAGGCCCGTAGGACCAATTACTGGGAATATCTTATGCTAAATGTATGCTAAACAGGTGACCTCTTAGAACATTATAGATTCCTCATTACTTTTCATTAAAAGTTGAGCCGGTTCCAACTCGCGGTAAAGTTCATTTTCTTTGTTATCTAGGTATTAGTTACCACTCCAGAAAGAAGTGTATGACTTGCAAAGGGCGAAACCCTATGTAAAAAGTATCATGGCATGCCTTAAATGCTTTATTAGGGGTTTGTTGTTCTTGCTGACGCAAGTAACTCATGAGTTATCGGCTAATAATTAGCATTAAAGGATACCATTAGAGTTACAAATGCTTTTTTGGTTTGCGTTGGGCGCGACACAAGTACAAGTCAACAGAAAAACAAGCTTCATAAAAGCACTGTGGGAAAAACTTGCACTGCAATTATTTTTTTGTTTAATATTGGGATGCAGTTACTTAAAGGGAAGGGGTATTTTCCCAAAGTTTATGCAAAGGTGAACAAATTTGAGATTACCGTTTCCTGGATTAACAGCAAACACAGGAGAATTGCATTATATTAATGAGATGTATGTCCAATGTTTTCCAGAGGCTGTGTGTTTATCTACCTATTCAAATTTGCAATGGAAACTCTAGGCAGTTAAGCTGCATTAAAGTCAGCAGAGTGACAATAAAGCTCATAAACAACTCCTGCTGACTGAATGCTTTTGCCAATAATCTATGTGGCAGCTTTCTTTATAGCTTGGAATCTGGTCACTTGGTAGAATTTAGATGCCCTACATTACAAGATCTAACAGGGAGAAGATGCTCCAAATAGCCACCCTGAAGGAAATCGGGGGACTGCAACCCGGGAACTGACTTTCTAAGTAGATAGTTTATTGACAGGTCTTACAACCCCATTACACCAAAAGATAAAACACAAGGTCTAGTTCCAAGGTAAACTAGGTAAAAAAAAATGCAGTAATAAAATACGTCTGCTAAATAAAAAATAATTAACAGATCAATGCATTGGCTTCGTATGATAGCCTGAACTGTTCAATGTAACAGATTCTCAGAGACCCAAATGTCACCGTGCAGATGCAATTCTTGCGCTTTTATCCAGCAGCATTTCTAGCGGTGAAGCCAAGCAGACATTGCAAGAGACTTTCACTTTTGTCTGTTTCTAGAGGTAGTAAAAGTATTTCAAGCCAACGGCAAACAGTTTGCCAAAAAAACTAGTTTCCATCTACATAGCCAAAGGCATTTCAAGTCACTCATAGGTTATTCTTACTGCTATGGAACATTTCTATAGACGTATAGCTGTATTTCATTCTCATTAGCAGATTAAAACCTAACTTTGATCAGCATCATCATGCAATTAAGCGACCTTCTGCACAGTTGGAGAAAAACCCAGGTTGCTCTGGTCCTAACTAGCAAGGTTACTTCAGGTGAGACAGAGAAGGCAATTTATTCGGGTGGGTGGGTGGGTGCGGACCACCCAGCCAATAAATCCCACACTTTATAGCATAAACATTCCAGATCCAATATAGTATTATTGACATAGTCCACCATGTTGTACAGGCAGTAGAAATCGGCAAGAGACAAGAGATTTTTCAGTATGGCTTTGAGCCAAATCTAAGCTTTTATTTTTGTTTAAAGTTCTTCCATCTCTTGAATTCTTGGGATTTTATTTTTCTGGCCTGTGCTACCACATGTATCCATCTAATAGCATACAACCAAAATTTAAGCATGTTATTTATTTATACGGCCACCTGTCTCACAAAAGTGACTCTGGGTGGCCGAACCAAGGTAAAAATACGATATAAATACATTGTAAAAATGTTCCTCCGAAACACCATGCCATAGAAAACAAGGGCTGGATTCACAGAACACACCCATTCCAACCCAACCCCATTATATTTTGCTTCTTGTGTGAACTAGCTCATGCTTTCAAAGCAGTCTAGGTTTATGGCTGGCTTTATCTGAATTCATATTGCACATTCTTGGTTCGGGATCCATAGCGGTCTGAATGAAATTGGATCCCAGCGATAGAATTTGTTGTCTTGTTGACCAGGCAATAGATTAAAATATTAACAATTGAATAGTTTAGGATTAAATTTTTTTAAAAAATGTTATAAACATTATAAAAATACAAAAAAATAAAAATAAAATGAAGAGTCGGGGAGAGTAGGAGTCTCGTTTGATATCATTCTTGTTTTACCTTGTATTTGCTTTTTATTGTGCCTAAAATGTAGCTGTTTCAATAGAGAATCATATTTTTTTACATTGTTACCGACACTCTGTGCTAACTTACAAAGAATTAAATTTAGAGAAATGACACAGCAGTCTAATTCTACGATAGAAATATAGGTGAAGATGTAAGTTTCCAATACAACTTTCAAAATATAATATATACCAGAGTGCAGATCTTTAGTAGGAAAAAGCCAAGATAACTAAGTACAGATGTATTTTTTTCCACCCATTTAGAAAGTTATTGAGCTTTAAAATAGTGCTAAAGTTACAGGACTAGACTGCCCTTGGAAATGAACTATCTGAAAAGACGTAAAGACTTGCTATAACCATTAACTAGACTGAAGCAAGATTTTTAACTTCTATATTTACATCTGTTAATAATCCTGTTTTAATACTACCATTTAAAGAAAATCCAAGGATAAAGCTAATATGCCCAGATTTATGGGGATTTAAAAATCTATGCTATTTTCCTATTTTATCAGTGGAAAATGATACGGATATTTTAAGAAACCATAAGCCTGCATAATAATTCTGGAAGTCTAATATATCTACTGAAGAGAAAAGAAGAGTAGCAAATATTTTCACTATTGAGGATTTAATACTTATTTTGTTTTTTTCAAGATTCTAGTAACCAACATTATCAACTATAGTGGTAATTAGAGTATAGCTGGGAGCGGTTTTGCACCTGTAATGCAACTTGGAACACTGTTAAGTCAATACTGTTTTGTTATTTAAAAATCTTGGTTAAACAATGAACGAATATAGCATCTGAAGCTATTTTTATACCATCACGTGTTGCAGGAAAAACACATAGACATTAAAAGTGCAATTATATGTTATAATCCCCTCAATTTCTATCGCTACATCATTTTTATAAGCAATTCAACTTACAAGAAGCAGACATGGTTTAGCAGAAAATCTTTTTCATATGTTATTATTCCCAGAATTCACAACAGATAAGCAGAATTGACAATAGACACTTGGATATAAAACATAAAACATTTTTATTGGAATATGTCGGGATCAAAGAACTGTTTGTCTGCACCTTACCTAACATTTATATCTGCAAAGCTTGAAAATTGGACAAGCTGACATAACAACCTTCGTGGTCAACATGTTCCAGAGACTCAGTTTTAAAATTTCACTTTTTAAATATAAAGAGTTCAGAGGTATTTCTTGTTCAAATATGTATCCAAATAATAATAAAAATGCATAGACATGTGTGTCACTTCAAGGTTCTTAGTTGTCCTACGTCAAATGGGCAAATCACAAACAAGACTCTCAGTCTACAACCAACATCAAATTAAAAATGAGTTCTGTAGCAGAGACTCAATTCATTTTATTCTAGAAACTGGGTTACCTTCTCAGTTTCTTCAGTGTGAATATTCCTTCATCTTGTCTTGACACTGACTAAACATTGTCATGATTAGTAACAGTTCTGTTCTTTTGGAGTAGTCCCTTTCAAACGTTTTCCTAAAGACCAAGCTTTACATTTTACAATTTAACTTCCAAATCTTGGAGGAAGCAGGTATCTTGGTTTGAAATCCAACACAAGATGGAATATATCTCAATATCATATCCCACTCCCAAAGCACAAAACCCACCTAAACTTTGGGCACAACAAGTCTCACAGGCTGACAGATACAAATCTGGCTGAGCACAAAATTGATCTAAGAACGTGTTCCACCCATGAACAAATAACAAATAATTTTGACAAATCCGTATCTTGTAGAAAACAAAACACAGATGATTAGTCTTGGAAAAGTAAACAAATGTGAGAAGACTTCCCTTCTGAATTTATTATTTTAATCCAACCCTGGATAAAATTCAGGAGTGATATGTTCATAGACACCTAGACAAGGTTGAGAAGGAGGCACTGATTTCACAATTTTCTATCAGGAATTCTTAGAACGAGCATGTACCACAGCAAATGTATGGACGGAAAGCCTTGTGTTTGAGCCCCCGTCCAAAATATCGCAAGATGAGATGACATTTTGCAGAGCTTGAGCATACGCTGAAAGAGAAATTAGCTTTATTGTGATATATAGAGTTTAAAAGGCAAAAGCAATGAAAAGCATGGTGGAGAATTATGTGCTACTTAAAAAAATAAACATTTTGTTCTCTAAATTGGTATAGGTTATACAGTCAATGTAGTAATTCAAACAACGTTCATAGATTTTACTATCATAAGGTACAATCACAGGTTTAATCCTTGTTTTTTTTTAATATATAGTAAAGGAAAATGAGTTTAGAGCAGGGGTCTTCAAACTTGGCAATTTTAAGACTTGTGGACTTCAACTCCCAGAATTCCTCAGCCAGCCAAGGCTGAGGCTGGCTGAGGAATTCTGGGAGTTGAAGTCCACAAGTCTTAAAGTTGCCAAGTTTGAAGACCCCTGGTTTAGAGAATGTCTTTTCTAAATGTCAATGTACCAAATTTTAGGAAGGCTGCAGTTGGGGCGGGACTTCCATTTTCATGGCTTTTGTTTTTCCCAATCATATCTTGTTGGTCAGTTAGTAACTGGATGCTGGTCTGAACAGATTTTTGACCTGACTCAGCACAGCAATTTATTTAATTTATATGGCCACTCAACTCACTCATCCTGACTCCAGGCAGCTTAGAGAATTTCTTATCTAACTGCATAGCTGTGAGTTTTATCAGTCTGATAGCAGAATGGTTTCTTTCTTTAGGTTGCACAGCTTGTCCATAAGAATCACTGTTCAAAGTCTTCGCGTTATGAACAAAGTCACGAATTAAAACCTTTCTTCATACAAAGGAGTTTCTCCAGAGGAGAGAATCTCCACCTGGTTTCACAATAATTAAAACAATTTACTACAGTATGAAGCGGCAGGGATTGTATGTGAGCAAACAGAATGTACAGCTGTGGACAGGCAAAGAATGAAAGTTAAGTGTGAGCAAATTCTATTGTGAAGTACAGTATCCCATCGTCTTACGTCCTTTATTTCAGGAGCTTTGAAAAGAAATATTGCTTTAAGCTCTGCATGAGCAATATCTGATCACAGCAGGCAATCTTGGGACCTAACCTTGTTTATAGCATACACCTACAGAATCTGGCTGTTCTTTATGTAGTATTTAACTGCCAACATTTTTTTTAGCTGGTTACTACAATTGTAACTTAGGTTCAGAGCTCTCCCTTTCACAGAACTGAAATGGTCTCCAACTGAGGCCGAATTTGTTTCAAATCTTATATCAACAACTACAAGAGAAAAAGCATGGAGGAAGATATTTCACACAAACTGTAATTAAAAATACTTTCCCAGAGTTTTGGCAGATTAGCAATATTATCTCAACTCAATGTCAGTTTGCACATCTGTCACAGTGACATGTGAGTTGCCTCCTCTATTGCACCAGCTGTTTTAGAATACACTGAATAAAATCCAAATGAGGAGGACTGCTACTGAAAGCAATGGAGCAAGGGGGACTTCCAAATACGATACCTTTGTGGTTTTTGTAGAACATACAGTTGTTGGCACAGCTATCGGGATGAGTGTCCCAGAAATCTAACCCACAGAAGCACAGAGGAGGCAAATGTATATTATACATGTCAATCTTCTCTTGCATCTGGGCTCGTAATGCTTCCACATATCTGCAAAACACATTTTTTGTTTCTGTTCAGCAGTAATTTCAAAGCCTTAGTGCTAGAATCAAATCTTCCAGCTGACCCAGAAATCTGCCGAGCATATTTCAACTATTTACTTTTCTCTTGCAACAAACAAACAAAACCAAACACGGAGCTGTAAAGCTACTTAGGTTTATTAGGACACAAGCTTTTATGGACTAGACTCAAGTTTGCAAGATTCATAAAGTGTCGTTTTCAATCGGTGTGCAAATTAACATAAGCTCCTGAAATTGTTAATTATTAAAATTAAAGTAATTAAAATATTAACATTAAATAATTTAATTGCTTTTTAAAAAATACTCTGTATCATTACTTGGGACATCTTCAATCACTTAGTTACAGAAAAGGTACTGTCATGGAAAAAACCCATGGAAAAAGACAAAAGACAGCAACACAAAACAACAATTCTTACTTTAAGATTCAGAGGTTTATTTTTCTAATAATTTGGAACACAGCATAATAACACAACATCACTTACATTAATAACCCATTGCAATGAGGACCATATGGTATAGCAGATTCCAAAAGGACAGCTATAGGCCAATGGCAAATCAATCAGGTCCAGTCCCAACTCTTTATACCCTTTCTCGTTCTAAGACTGTAGTCAGGTGGTCCGCTGACTTTTGCTGACTTTTGCCTGACCTTCTACTGAACATAACTTTCCACATATACCCGTGTATATTTGGAACCCACATCCATCAGCTACTTTCAGTTCTCTATTTCTTATTGTTCCAGTCCTTATGTTCTAAATATATTTGAAACAAGCAAGCTTAGCAAAATCATATTAAATAAAATACAATTGCAAACTGCAAAATTAAGCATAGCACAGACTATGGTTCAATACTTTGTCCATGAGGCCTGATTCAGTTTACCTGGGCCTAAACCTTGCATAAAAGAGCAATAGCCAATATTTTCGTTTTCCATAGTACTGAAACCAAATATAATGGCAGTAAGTTCAAAATACAAACCTCAGAGAAGAATCAGCAATATAAATGTAGTCTGGATTTAATAGGTCAGCAAGATGAGACTCTTACTGTATTATCATCCAGATGTTATAGGCAATTTAATGGGCATTAGAAATAACAGACATTCCCTCTCCCCTACTGTGATCTTTGAAATCAGGCTATACCACATATCTGAAATGCTTGAAAAAATTCGGGAAAGGCACAAATCTCTAAATGTCCTCTCTCTCACTGATAGCTTCCTCACTTCCAATCATCCAGATGCCAACAGAAGATTGTTGCAATTAAATTAATGGGCTCATATAGAGGCAGGGATTTCTCTAAGTACTTCTTGTATTCATGTTCTACCGTGGATGTAGAGCTTCAGGTGGTCTCTGGTCATTCTGCTTGTCCATAATCACATGCTGATGCTGTGCCTGACCATTCCTACAACTGTCAGTCCTACAACTATCACCAACTTACTGTGATAAACTGGAGCAGGGTAAGCAACTGAAAAGGTTGGTTGGAAACATCTGCAAGCATTTTGACCCGGTACTGGTGTGTTTGCTGGTTTAGCAACTTGATATAACTCTTAGAAATACTCAACACCTGGAGGCATTCAGTTGCCTTTGACTGTGCTACCCATCAGTTATCTCCCAGATAGATACTAGAGTATAGGACCTTGGCCTTTAAGCTTTGTTAAGAGCTAGACTAGGTGAATGTTTGTTCTGGTCTGGCAGTGCTTGTAAATGCACGTTTATTGGATCCTAAACTTCCACTGATACTTTAACTCACCTGGAATATTCTTTATTTTTTTGTACTCTTTCCACTAGTTTTTTCTTTTCTTCCGGATCTTCCAATTTCAACTGTTGTAGTTTTTCACAGGTTTTTCCCCTGGGCTTAGCATTTTTTGGTGAAGCCATCTCCTGTGTCCTTTTCTCCTTTGCTCGCTGTGCTCGTTGTGCTTCCTGTATCCTCTGTTCCTCTGCACGGCGCCGATACTCCTTTTCTTTCCTAATTCTGTGGCAGACAAAATTTCCAATCATTCTACATTAATTATTGGAGTACAGAATAAAAAGTTAGAGGAACACAACTGTCCGTTCTATTTTGTTGTCAAATTTCTATATGAAATAAAGAGAAGACGACAAAATCTGGTTAAAAGTGTATTACTGCTACTTTAGTTTCAGCAAAGATTGAAAACATAGCTATTTTATTTAGCATTTTTCTGCATGTGTACACACTTGACTGTGTATTTCAGATTACAACTTTCCCCCCCCTTACCTGCAAATGTTTGGCTTCTAACCAGCTATACATTAGAACAAAAAAAATCTCCAAATAGCAAATGTAAAAGAGCAACTAGGGGACCATGAAAATAAAACTTGTGGAGAAAGAAAGAGCTTCTAATGATAAATCCTGACAAAAAGAGTATTCCAGCTAGAGCATTCTGTATACAGGAACGGTACAACGTAGGGCTTTCATTATAAAACCATAAAAGCTCAGTCAAATTCATGAAGGATGTGTCTCTCACAACAGTATTTAGTCACACAATTAATGAAAATAGCCATATTCAGAAGAAAGGTATTCCCAAATATTAGTCAATCGGGCACAAGCAAGTTATTGCTTTTATGCAATTTCTTGACGTCCTAGAGGGATCTGGTTAGTCACTGCACAAAAGAGAATAGTGGGTAAAATCGACCTTCAGCCCAAATCATTGGAAGGTAATTGCGTAGCTGCTGCCAGCTTACTAAATCAAAAGCTCTTCAGATTGATGGAAAAACACAAGAATTTAAAAGGAAAAATATTTGTTTTAGAAAACCACACTGCTTAAGAAAACGTAGCTGTTTAACTCTGCTGTTTTTCCCCACTTAGGCAATCTCTTTAAAACTCAATATTTGTCCAGACTTTACTGCATCATTGTAAAGTTTTCACTAGTAAAATGCTGTGGGAGCAAGGGCAAGTTAACCGTGTGCTTACAATAAAGGGCAGCATTCTCTCCTATATAAAAAGGCTCTGCCAAGAAGGAATTTATCATAAGAGAAGAGTCCTCAGGTGTTATGAAAAAGTGAACCTCTGCTTCAATGTACAACTTGCTCAGGTGACCTAAGATTCTTTTACCACTTTATTTTTTAAACTATATCCGATAAAAGAAATTTCCTCTGGAGTCCAGATGTGCTTTTAAAAAATGACAATGGCATAGCTTGGCCCCATTTTTTTAAACTTCATTTTAGTGTAGTTCAAATGAGATACTATTGCACCAAGGCCTCATAACTATGACAGGAAAGGGAAAGCTATAGGTCAGAACAGCTGTATTGCCAGCTGTCAGTTATTTTTGATACTCTCCTGGCCACTAAAAGGAATGAAATGTGAAGCTGGTGTGCTGAACAATAAAATAACAGTCTGGTCTTTATTTCTGAGCTCCATAAAGACATTTTTAGAAACCAAAAATGAGTGGCTATCACCCAGTAGTTCCTTAGTCTGATTTTTCTTTCAAAAGTATAGAGCGATATTATTTGTATCTTTACTTTCATAGCACAAATTGAAACGATTCATTTTATCTTCCCAAATAGGCTAAGAAAAAAGAAAAAAAAAGTACTAAGACTGCTGAATTGGAAAGGCTGACCGCAAGGAGAAAATGTTCTCAAATAACATTTCTATTAAGTGGAGAACTTTAATTAAAACCAGAAGCCCTTCATCCGTTCCCTACTTATGCAAAGGCACATTAACCTTCATTTTTTTACATTCCAGAAATTATAGGCAAAAAAGAATGGGCATCTACTGAATGTGTACTTGTTCATTTTCCTCTGCCACTCCTTCTGTCTTTGCTGTTCCTTCACTTGTTCTCTTTCGATATCCATGAAGAGGCGCCTATACCTCAGATACTGGCTTTGGTGCTACAGGAAAAAAAAAAAAGAATTTTAGTTTGATCCTAATGCTGGATCGTGCTATTCCATATACCAGTGAGAAAATTTTGACTTTATTCTTCTTCCTGATGACCACCTGCCATTTGTTTGTGTTCTCAGTGGTTACATTTAGAGTATATATTCTCATGAAATAATTAGATGAAGAATTAATGCATGATGAACCAGTATATTTTTTCCTTTCCTTAGAATCTCATCTGAATCCTATTAGATTGCAAGTCAGTGGGCAGGAACTATGTTTTTAAACTTTTGAGGTTTCTCAAATGTATCATTAAACTCAGCACATAATATACAATTTATGTCTAGCTTTATTAACACAAAAAGTGTAAAATTTAATGTCTTTTCCCCTCCAACCAAGGAACCTGGGCATTCCACATAAGAGATAGAAAATCTAGAAGTTAACTTTGGCCTATTTTGAAAAATAAAAATTGTCTATCCTGATATTGTTTGGATTTGTTTTTCACATACCTGTTCACACACATGCATGAATTGGGACATTAGCTATCTCTGTGGTATCTTACAGTTTAAAAATTCTAGTGCCTCCTCTTTTTAGTATTCAATAATTAAGGAGTTTCGTTGATATACATATTAAAAGGTTATACGGTATCCTTATAATTTATTGGAGAAGTTCACCAAATAGATCTCTTCAGTTAGACTTCATTCTGCCGGCTAGTAATTAGACCACAATTAAATAAAGACACCCACAAATCTGCTCCTAGCAACTGCACACAGGAAATCTTGGCACTGTTACACAAAGTTTGTCACTGCCATTTTCAAAGATATATATTAAATTTTCACTATCCAGCCTTACTATCAGCCTTGGAATTCTTAGACAGCCTATCCAAGTTGACTTATACTGATTTTGGTAACATCTAGGATGGGGCCAAGCTGCCTAGTGCTGCCACCTATGGATAGAAACATTAATTCTAATCTTTACTCAGCGATCAGGAACGAGATGCATCATTAGGTACCGCATGAAAGGAATCTCCCTTTCAGTTATCCTAATATTGAACAAGGTAAATTCATGTAAGACTATATACCTGCTTCTTCGATTGTTCCTTCTCCATTCCAGGCCAGAATATATGAACAGCCTGAGCCTCAGTATCAGCTGGATCATTACCTTTCAAGGCCTCATTATTTACCTGAAAGAAAACAAACCAAGAGAGTAAGCCTCTGAAACAGTCATACATGTGATTATAAAAGGCTACCGTTGAAACCTGGATAGCTTTTTCTTCATATTTTTTTTCAAGATGTTTCTTCTTGCACGTTATGCAACAGTGCAAACTTTAACATACCCACACTATCAAGGAAAGAATAAGATACCCCACATCCTATTACTATTATTCATATATTAATATGAAAATAGGGGTTTTTTTTGTTTTGATGAGCAGCTATACAGTATTGTACCAAATCCTCAATCTCCAGACTGTAGCCCAACGGTGGAACCATCTTAGAATGCTACTGGTTCCCTGGGACTCCCAAGCCTGGTGATATAACCAGGTCTTGAGCGACTTCTAACAGGGATGGAGCTAACTTTGCGGGGGGGGAGGGGGAGGAGGGAGGGAGAATGTTGCATAAGGCAGATGACATGGCAGAGAATGCCCATTTTCTTGGGACTACCAAATGTAAAACCCTAGCAGATGGTTAAGTTGAACTAGATGTTAGTTACAAGTAAAGCACTATGAAGCGGTATATAAGTCTGCTGTTGCTATATTGCTGCTTGCACATGTCTTTGATTTCTCGTGTCATCTTGCTTCAAGGCAGCTTAAGGCAATACCACCATATATGTGATGTGCCCTTATTATCCTTTTTCATTTTCCCTACAAGTTACATAGTTGAGAAGTCTTACTTTTTGAAATTCTGTGTTGTCCCAATTCCTTCCCTCTTGTTCTTGAAGTTCTGCTGGAAGATCATGGTGTCCCTTCAGAGGAAGTTCTCCCATATCACCCTCTTCTGGGCTCAGAGCAGTTGTGTTGCAAGGTTCTGAGTTCTAAAAAAAACCCAGACATTCTATCCAAAGGTTTTGTATAAATTCATATAAAAGCTGGCTGCCAGCAATAACCCTAAATTGCAACTGCGGTCTTCAAAAATTATAAAAAAGATAGAACAAACCACAAAATAGACACATTTAGCAAGAACAGCGAAGAGCCTGCGTGTTCCTGGACAAGGTTTCTTTTAAAGTTGGAGATAGCCAGGTAATTATAAATAATGTTTGGCACATGAAAAGGATGCTAGCTTCATGAAAGAACACTAAAAAGCAGTTTATATATATATCTAAACAAACACTCAGATTCAGTAAGGACCTCATTTGAATCCTGTCTAAGTTTGGGCAACATGAAAGGAAATTGAGTGTCGAATCGAATGACAGACCTCTGTTCATTGAGTTTTCTGTAAATCCACGTGGAGATGTGTCCCTCCAAGGTTGCATAAGTATTTTGGTGCAATGAATATCCTTCTCTAACCTAATAACTTGCAGTTGATTTGCAGCTGCATTTGCCAGAATTCTCAAACAGGATATCTACTCCTATTTCTTGGAGCTGTGGTGGCGCAGTGGTTAGAATGCAGTATTGCAGGCTAACTCCACCCAATGCCAGGAGTTCGATCCTGACCGGCTCTAGGTTGACGCAACCTTTCATCCTTTTGAGTTCGGTAAAATAAGGACCCAGATTGTTAGGGGCAATAGGCTGACTCTGTAAACTGCTAGAGAGGGCTGTAAAGCACTGTGAAGCGGTATCTAAGTCTAAGTGCTATTGCTGTTCAAAAGTAGGCGGACACTTCAGTGTGGTAATCAGGGCTTGCAGTTGCCTAAATGTCCAATTTTCCTGCCATGCCTTGAGTTACTATTCTAAGGAAAACTTAGTAAATGGAAATTTCATTCTCCGCTCTACAGCCAAATAAGTACTACAGTTCTTAGCACGCATGACATTATAAGCATTTCGGTACTAGTGACCTGTCTTTTTGGAGGATTCTGACGAGCATCTCCTGGATGTTCTGAAACATTTCCTTCTGGAACAGCTTTTCGAGAAGCCAGTTTGTGACGGACCTGTTGCACCGTTTTCCTTACCTGAAAGAAGAGATTTATACAAGGAAGCAGACAGTACGGTTTACAAACAGGGTTTACTTGTCATTAAGTGTATTAATGTATTAATACTTAATTAAAGTATTAAGTCAGAGAACTGAAAACAGAAAAAGACATTTACAGTTTTGGCTAGCTCTGAGAACTGCTCTGGTTCATAATCAGTTTGTTGTACATAGGCGACTTTGTCATTAGTATTGCCAATGGCAGAATCCCTGGTATATCTGTAGAGGCATGTATTTTTCTTGGGGGTCAACCGCAAGGCAGAATCTGAAAACCCTATAATAACAGAGCTTTCTTTCAGGGCCTGTCAGAGGAGAAAAAAAGTGTGAGAGTGAGCTGCATACAAGCTTAAAATGAGAATGAGAAAGAAGCAGGTATCAAATGATTGTAAAGCAAAAATATACTGTAAGAAGAGATCAGCAGTTTTAAACTGCAACAGATACATATGATTAAAAATAATCTCTGAAATATCATTTTATTGACAAATGGATTCTAGTAAATAGTTTTCTTAACTATTTGGGAAATAGCTATCTGAGAATTAAATTGCAGTAAATATGAATTAAAATAATCTCAAGAAAGGCTTAACAGCATCAGTTGAAATATGTAATTAAGTAGCCTGGGGAACTAAGGAGTGGTGTAGATCTTTTAAAATTCAAAAATCAAGACTACCCAACACTTTTGTTATTTATGTTAAAATAATTACCGGTACATTTATGATAAGAAAATAAACAGACCGATTACAACAACAGTACTCCCCAAACTAAATTGATGCCTTTTTATTCCAGAGAAATTCAGTTTTCAAGAAGAAATTCACAGACATATTTCACAGAAATAGAACCTTACAGCTTCGTAAGAGGTCTTCAACTGTTGTTTCCTCTTTAGATTAACACGTTGGTTCACCCTGTGTTTTACCTCCTGCTGAAAGCGTTTCAATGTTTTTTCTTTTTCTTTTTGTTGTTCTTTGTATACTTTTTCAACCTGAACAGCTGTGGCCTATAGAAATAATTAGCATTAAAACAGATAAACAAGGGAACCAGACTTCAGAACAGTATCACGCTAGTTGTTACTGCTTACTAAGTTTTGCTAATACAACAATCTTGTCTTTATGAAAGCATTCTTAGGATCACTTTGTAATAGGTAGGTCCTATTAATACTGAAGACACACATTATACACTTTTGATTTGTACGATTAACACAATCGATGACAAAGATTGTAATTTAAACATAACACCAAAGAAGAGGCAGTCAAGCTATTCTCCAAGGCGCCTGAAGGCAGGACAAGAAGCAATGGGTGGAAACTAATCAAGGAGAGAAGCAACCTAGAACTAAGGAGAAACTTCCTGACAGTGAGAACAATTAACCAGTGGAACAACCTGCCTCCAGAAGCGGTGAATTCTCCAACACTGGAAGTTTTTAAGAGACTGGACAGCTATTTGTCTGAAATGGTATAGGGTTTCCTGCCTAAGCAGGGGGTTGGACTAGATGACCTCCACGGTCCCTTCCAACTTTTTTATCATCATCATCATCATCATCATCATCATCATCATCATCATCATCATCATCATCATCATCTCTGGGACTTAACCAGAATGGCCTAGTATCAGAGATGACAGGAATTAGAGTTTAACAGCAATTGCAGGGCTACATACTCCATTTAGCTTAATTAAAAGGAAAGGAATAAATCACAGCCTAAAAACTATAAGTTGTTTTGATGTTTATCATTCAAAAGTATATTGCCATTACAGAATCCCTCCGAACAGAAATAGTTGTTAGATAACTACGGTACAACTTGAAGAAGTTTTAGATTCCATCTCCAAAACCTGAGAAATGTCTGAGATTTCATTGAATCACTGCCACTTGGAGTAGAAAGTGAACCAGATGGTTTAATAGTCTGAATTTTTGATATTGATTTAGGTAACTTGATACTTAATACTCACAAAAACTGGGCTCTCTTCTCCATCATCTTGGGCGCTCTCTACCCAGGCCCCAACAGGTGCTATACACTGAGTTCTTCCTGCTAATACATTCCAGTTGGCTGATGGAGGCCTCAATTTAGTCTGTGCAATTTTCTGGGGACCATGTTGTTGCAGCCCCTTCTTGGGAGGAACCATCTCAGCAACAAGACAACAGTAAGGCTAGGGCTTCCTGTGGAAAGAGACAATTATGTTCAATAAGCATTAGATTATAAGGGGGGAAAAACCCTAGCTCTATTTATGTGCCAGCATCATCTATGAGTAAAGTCTATCTCATTATGTAAAATCCCCTTAAAAGCTTTAATTAAAATAGAATTAGGTCTTCCTAACTGGCTGGGACAAAAAAAGTGGGGAGTGAAAAGAAGGTATTTTAGTTTTTTCCTGAGTTTTCACCAGAGATTTAAAGACTTATGGAACAGAGCTAAGTAGAATTCTTTTCTTTCTTTTTTTTTGGGGGGGGGGGGGCTATGTATGTACAGTGTACCCTTTTCCCGTGTTGTGCTCTATGGCAAAATGATGGGATGTAACATTTAAAAATTACATAGATGCACTGCTCATTTGCTTGAATGTCTGCAGGCCTGTCCACACACCTGTAAACAATAAACATCTGAACAATTCTCAGCATTAACGGTGCCATTTTCTGCAAGGAACTTTATTAAAAGGTGGGGCACAATATATAAATAGAGGCAGCCAGGTAAGAACACAAGCAAGTGCAGGCGTCACGTGAAAACACTGCATGGGGCTGTGTTGTTGCTCCCCTCTGGGAGGAGGTTTTGAAGTATTTCTAGCAGGACTGCCCAATTCTGTAATAGCTTTGTTCCCTATGCCATCCGTCTGGGAAACTCACAAGATTCGTTTTTCCCCCCATACATCCAAACTAGATTGTGTTGTTTCTCTGTCATAGAATATATGTGGGTATATGCATAATTATTATTTTTGTCATATTTATGCAGTGCATATCGGAGGTGGGTACCCTGTGAGAGTTGTAGACAACGACACCTCATTTTAATGTATGCTGATTAATATACATTTAAAGTAACAATAAATATTCTATTCTATTCTATTCCCCATTCCATATTCTATTCCCCATTCCATATTCTATTCTATTCTATTCCCTATTCCATATTCTATTCCCCATTCCATATTCTATTCTATTCTATTCCCTATTCTACTCCCTTCCATATATTCTATTCTATTCCCCATTCCATATTCTATTTTATTCTATTTTATTCTATTTTATTCTATTCTATTCCCTATTCTACTATTCCTTTCCTTTCCCTTCCCTTCCCTTCCATTCAATTCCCTATTCCATTCCCCCAATTACCTCCTTTTGGCCCCATGCTACCCTCCAAAGCTCCTAAATATGCTTCCTTCCCAACCTTTCGTATACCGAGGGAGTTTTTTGCGAGGCGGTGGGAGGGTCGCCATCACTGGGCTGCACCCGCCGCCCGGAGAACCCACTGGGGAGCCCCCTCGTTCCGGTCCCGGGCCCATAAGCTGCCTGCGCGGCCCGCGGGGAACCTTCCCACCTGTCCGCAACAGCCCCCTCCGGGTTCACGCCATCCCAGAGGCCGACCTTCGTCCAGCGGCTTCCTCGTCCTGCCTAGGATTCCGACTCGGAGTCAACCGTTACCATGTCAACCCCTCCTCCCGCGAGATTTGGCACCGGTACCGCTTGACCTCTGACGCCGCTGCCATGGCAACCAGTCCCCCCCCACTCACGTCTCTTTCCTCACCCCCGCTTCGCTTCTCTCTCTCTCTCTCTCCCCAACCGTCGTTTTAAAACCTCGCGCCACTTCCGCTTCAACCGCGCGATGACTCCTCCCCGTCTTCCACCGGGCACCAATCCAGGCGGAGAAGCGGCTATGATGTCATAGTTAAGCCAGGCCCAGCCGTGTAATTGGTCGGTGTTCTCTTGGGGAGGGAGGATCCATTTGAAGCTTGACCCCGCCCTTTAACTCAAGGCCGCTCCTACCAAGCCTTGGTTCCGCCAATCAGCTGCCTGGGTTTAAATGAAAGGCAGCGTCTCACTTTCGCTGCTGAAGCTGTTACAGCGGAGCTGATAGGCTGAGTAGCCCGAACGCGCAGAGAGAGTTGGGGATGAGTTAGGAAGGGCTGCAAAAATACAGGCGGCCGCTAGAGGGGACTAGAGAGATTCAGAAAACGACTGTTGATTGCCCTCTAGGCGTGATTTGGAGTTTTGCAATGCAGCCCGGATTTGAGTTGCCCCCTGTAGAATTCAGACATATGTGCATCTTAATTATAACCCTGAGTCAATCTGCTACAGCGTGCAAATCTCAAGTTGCTTTTCAATTGCTCTGGCATCTTGGAAAAAGATTCCAACTAATATCTTTGAATTGAATGACATCATATGCCCAGCATTGCCTGGGACTTTTAAGATAATTTGGCATCTAATTGAGAATGGATGTCCGGTGTTGATCTGTTGTGCAATGAATGGTGCACTGCCATTTCCTGGAATCTTTTGCTTCATGATGCGACACACACCTATCTATTGACAGATTCCTATATTGCTTTTCTTGTCATGTTGCGCTCTTGGTCTATCTTTAAAACTTCTGCACTGCAACCATTTATCACCATTTATAGTGATTAAACCATTTCCTCTTAAAGTTGAGTTGTTTGCTTCTTTGAACACAGCATGGAACTGTCCAAATGTTTTGCAACCTACTTTTTATCCGCAACAAATCAGAAATGCCAGATCAGAATGTATCACAGACTTTCACTCTAAATGATAAGTGTGTGGGTACATAAATAAAATAAACATAATAAAATAAAACAAACATAAATAAAAAAAGATAAGCTACAACATTTTTTTAAAAAAGAAGTGAAAAAGAACCTCTACCTTTCCAAAAAGTATGATATTTTTCTAAGGCATTGTTTCCTGTTTAGAGGCAATCTTGTTATTATTTAAGGACACTTCTAGAAGAACAGCAGTTAAGCAGATTAAACTCATAGATCAAGGTATAATTTTAAAGCATTTGTTCATGCCGAGAGGCACGCTTATTATTTGGACCAAAGCTTTAGTTACGGTCTTTACATCCTCTGTTTCTATCCATTTGTATTATCTGGTTGCCTCCACCCTTTCTATCGTAATATCTATGAGATATGTCAAAGTAGCAGATGACCGTGCCAAATTGTCTCTCTGGAGGAGACAAAATCTGAAAACAGCTTCATTGTAATCCTCTAAGTCTATGCTACATCACGTGCAGTGTTCCCATTTGTACATTGTGGTTTAGTTCTGGGAATGGGATTTAGTTCATTATACTATCAGAAATACTTTTTACAGAAAATATTGATAAGCTAGTTGAATGCAACTTTCAACAGGATGCTGTATTGTCTTCCTTTGCTATGAGTTCCTGACTCTATGGAGGCAGCGTTGCAAATTTCAGTTGGATAAGGTGGTTGTTTCTACAGAAACCTCTAGAAAAAATGGGGGGGGGGGAAGCTTTCTTCAAACAAACAATCTCTCATAGATCAAAACATTTGGAAATGGGCTCAGCACCCTGTAAAAAAGAAAGATTCCCACAGAAGAGAACTTTTACTGCTAGAATTTGGGAGATGAATGCAATAAACAGTTTTAAGACATCAAATGAAAAACATGTCTATCCCTTTTCCCTTTTCTTATTCCTTTCTCTTTCTCTCTGTGTATGCAGAACATTGAAGGTTGAGTAACAGCCTTTGAATAGAATGCCAGAGTTCCCACAAAAACATGGGTGAAGCCAGGATACCTTAATTCGTTTTACATGTAAGTGTAATTAAAGCAAAATGGATTAACTACGATTGATATTTCTCTTCTTGTGTTTAGGAATGTTCCTCTTCAGCCCTCTTAAAAATTATACTATGGTGTCAACCTTTGGAAGTGTTTTAGAAAACAGGTTATATGTTTCTGTACATCAATGACCATGCTGGGTTGAAGTTAAAGCCACAAAATCCAAGCCATTGTTTGTTTTGTCACATATTATATTGTTGGTACTTTTAAGTACTTTTGAAAATAAGATAGGGTAGCCTTCTCTGATGTGATTTAATCTAGTACTTCTCAACATATATGGGACTATGTAACTTCATCTTGGTTGGAAATGGTTGTGAGGTTTTATTCTAGAAGAATGTGCACTGGGGAAATATGCTACCAGCCGTAATCAGAAATGTTGACTTTCTGGGTCTTTCCCCAATTTTAAATCAGGAATTTCCTGTGAAGCTGCCTTTGAAAGTCAGAAATACAGTCTGTGTTGTTTTTAAATATGATTAGCTAATCCTTTGGCACGAAGGATCTCAGCTCACCAAGTCTTAGGTCTGACCCAAAGGAAAGAAAGAAGGGTAAAAACATAAAATCCAACAAACCCTTCCACAACAATCCAGGACAACACACAGAGCTCTGTCTATTGAAAGGGGACTTGGCAGAGTTCAGTGGTAGCAGAACAACTCCAAGCGGTACTAAGGGACGTGCTTGGAGTGGACAAAACATGCTAATTGTGTGTGAGAAGGATCTAAAGCTAAACCCAAAATGAAGAGAGAAAGAGAAGCTTTGTCCAGACTTCTCAACACACCGGGTTTCGTACATATCGTTTGCCTTTTTGTAATCTACTATGCAGGTAGGAAACTAGCCTTCTTAAAAACATTTGGGCAAAAGGTATTTGAGCAATTGCTCCTGTGGAAAGCAAGGAAGATTCTCTTTGGATGCTGAATGCCTGGAGGTGAACTGCCCAGCTTCTAGGCGGTTGTCAGAATGTCCAGATACCTCCTCTGTCCCTTCACAGCTCTCCCTGGAATGAGCATTTCAGTGGCTGTTTTTAAAAAAACGAGTTAATACACTGTTCTTTATAGAATAGATTATAGATCTGTGCATCTCTAAATCTAGGGAAGTCTTTGAAGGAATGCATCTTGAATGCTGGTTCTGCTCAGGTATGTTTTTAAAGCAAGGCAGTTTGACTTTCAAGCTACGTAGGCAATATTTATAGAAAGAGAACTGATAATGACATAAATAAAAGGATGGGTTAGCAGTATTTAAATTTCCTATGTGTGCATATACGCTACTGTATGCAACTCGAAGCTTGAAGTTGCAGTGAATTTAGCAGAATTTTCTCTTGAATCAATATGGGGAGGAACTGTGTATACTTGCATATTTGGGCATTAGGTTTATTGAGTTCAGTGGGAGTTTTGGCTTCTGAGCAATTGTACACAGAGTGGCACTGCTGATTTTCTGATTTGCATTTCCTGGATTATGGAATATGTTGCATTATGAGTAAGTTGCTGAGGAGTGGATAACTATAAGATTTCCAATTGTATAGTAAAGATACTTTTTCAGTATTTTTTCAGGTAGTCTAATTAGAATTGATATATGAAATATTAACATGGAGATAATAACTACTGCATAACCTATGGCAGACTTTCCTGGTTGCGATCATTAGATGGAGAGGATGTGAATTTGTAGGACACCAGCCTGGAAAAGCTGGTAGGTAGTGGGTGGGTAAATGGATAGATAGATAGATAGATAGATGATAGATCCTTTAAAGGTGATTATGTAATTACATTACTCTATTAACATGTCAATGTATAATTTAGGAATGTCACCTATCTTGGACACAGAAAATAATTGCACCAGATTAATTTAATCTACATTTCCTTCCTTCCACGCTTATGTACTTCTTTATTTTTTCTAGTTCCGATACTTAGGAAAGGAAACATCCATTTCCAATTTGAACAAAAGTTTATTCAACCTTAACATGGTTGTCTCGGGTGAATTATAGGTACCACTAGCCACAATTAATCAATGAATGATGTTATTTTAGAAAGTCTCAGTATTCATTAAGCCATTATTTGTTGCATTTACAGAACATACAGTCATAAAACATGCATTAGGAGCTATAGTGGAGGAGATATGTTCATTGAGCTTTTTACACATTGCCAAATTAATGCTTAGGATTTGTGGCTTTTGCCCTTGAAAGAACTAGATTTGTTTGTTCCTATGTAGTCATGAACAGTTGCAGTCAGATGGTCTGTTTCTTGAGAAAGCATTTGGGGGAAGCAAACAAGCTAGGAAATTTTCAAACAGGTCTCAGGTAGGATCGCAGTTGAAAAAACAAACAAATCAAGTACTTTGAAGAGTGAAAGCCAAAAATCCTATGCATTAACTTGGCAACCTGGAAGATCAGGTGTGTAATAAGCCATATCAGCATATTTCCTCCATTGCAGTTTCTAAAACATGGTTTATGGCTTGGTGTTGTGTGAATCCAGAAAATGATGGCTTAATGAACATTGGGGCCCTCTGAAATAATAGCTACATAGGCTGTAGGATCAAGTCTACTCCATTACATGAGATGTTAAAGTAAAAGAAAAACGCTTCCTTGATTTAAGCTGGAGTCCTGACAACTTCATGGACATGTCCATGCAATTATTTTTGGCAGCAATGTGGAGATGGTCTAATATTGTCCTCTGACTTCCTAGTCTTTTTTTAACTCTCCAGTGTAGCCAATAACTCTGGGATTTGCCCAACCCTTCTTAGCTTTTGTGAAGGCTTAGTCAAGGCAAGCTAGATATTGCCATCAGCTAGATAATATATTTCTATTTTTAATACAGTTATGATTCCATGCCAGCTAGCTTA